TCCCTCTCACTGTCTTTCTCTTTCTTTCTTCCATCTATCCTTCAATCCTTCCTTCGTCCCTCCTTCCCTCCCTCCCACTCACCCTCCTTCCATACCTCCTTTCTTCCCTTCCACTTCCCTCCTCCCATCTTTCTGTCACTTTCCTTTCGGATCTCCCCCCTCCTAGTCCTCGCCCTCTCTCTCTCTTTCTTTCTTTCTCTCTCTCTTTCTTTCTCTCTCTCTTTCTTTCTCTCTCTCTCTCTCTCTCTCTCTCTCTCTCTCTCTCTCTCTCTCTCTCTCTCTCTCTCTCTCTCTCTCTCTCTCTTCTCTCTCTCTCTCTCTCTCTCTCTCTCTCTCTCTCTCTCTCTCTCTCTCTCTCTCTCTCTTCTCTCTCTCTCTCTCTCTCTCTCTCTCTCTCTCTCTCTCTCTCTCTCTCTCTCTCTCTCTCTCGTCCGCTCCCCCCCCCTTCTTTTTCTTCCTCTCTCAGTTTTTCTTCTTCCTGTTTCCGTCTGGTCCTAAAATCCAGAAAAAAAAGTTCAACGTACATTAGCATCTCTCGTGATTTACCGGGGATTTCGTCTCATTTAACTTTAACCCGCCCACATATCATACTAATTAAACCCGCCCACATATCATACTAATAATTCTCGTTGCGCAGTAAATAACTTCACAATTTGAGTGACTCTTCAGATATTCCGTCTTGAAGGCTTAAAAAAAAAAAGAAAGGAAAAAAAAATCGACGATGAATAATGGATTGGAAAGAAATTAAAGTAGATATATTTCGAGAAAATAAAAATCCCTCTTGAAGACTTTTTGATAATATTATTCTTCAAATATCATCGACGATAAAAATGAATGACAAATAAACTGAAGTATAGGCGAATAAAAGTTTTTGAGCGACACTCCAGTCTGGCATTATGTTGGGAAAGTACCATGGTAATTGTGACAGTGCCATGGTGAAATTAATCCTGTATATTATGTCTATTTATTTTTATTTATTTATTTTATTTTACTGTTTATTTCGTTTATTACTTGTTGAATACAATTTTCCCGTTTCTTTACCGAACTGATACGTATGTATATTCTGATTCAGAGCATAAAACGTTTAAAAAAATAGTCGATTCAAAATTAAGTAAAAAAAATAAATGTTTAAGAAATAAATCATATCATTTTGTTAATTAATGATGATTCCCAATAATAAAAAAAAAAAAACGTTCAGTTGCTGGCTCGATAGGTAAACATGAATAAAAGATATTCTATATCCATCAGTGACCTTTGACCTATCCCTCTTTCAAAACAGATTATCAACTTGTCACGTAAACTCAGTAAACAATAGACAAAATCCAGACAAAGTGACTACTGAATTCAAGGGAACGATCACTAACTAAAAAACGAAAACAGAAAAAAAAACACTATACACAGTTCATGAAACGAAGCCTAAGTCAAAGTCGGAGTCAAAACCAATATTTCGACAGACGCTTCCGAGGAGACACAACATATCGGAGACGTAAAATCTTACTAACCCATTAAATAACTTTTTAGATTTGATAATATGAGAGTTTGTTGTGTAACTTATCTGTTGATTTAATGATAAGAGGTTTTATTGTGTTTATGGTGTTGGAAAGATATATGGCAAATTACAGCACCGTTTTTTTGGTTATTGTAATCGTAAATGAAATAACTTTTTTGTAGTTACTGACAATGTCAAACTATAGCCTAAAAGGCATATTTCGCAGCTGTTTTAACTAATGGAATGGATTTTATCTCGTGAAGTGTCTCTTTTAACGTCCGTTGTATTTTGTAGTATAATATATAACATAATCCTTAAGGGCATGACTAACATTTATCTTTTGTACTGATCTGTTAATGAAATTCCCCATCTTTGGGAACGTCTTTTATTGGATTCTTTTCATATACAGTTTTATTAGTTCTTTTTTTTACTGCCTCACAAGAAAAAAAAGTTTTTTATTGAAGGAAACAACACAACCATACTTACCAAAATCCCCACAGCTGTACCCCCTCTGTATCACCATATATACATACAACAAAGAAGAAGAAAAAGAAACCAAATATAAAAAAAACAAACATCAGTCTCTTACCCAAAGCGACCTTCCGCCTCTCCCCCCGCCATTCTAACACCTGAGGTTGACCTTACCCTGCAGGTGCTACCGGGTCACGTGGATGAGGCCAGGTCAGACGAGAGACTGATGGAGATGGTCCGCCGTTTTGTGTCTGATATAATGACCAAGGCCAAAGCTGAGGCGTGGGACAGTATGAGAGAGATTCAGAACAATAATAATAACGTCCTCTCGGAAAAGGTAGGGAGTTTTGTTCCTCATCTTCGGTTCCTCATGGATATCTGACTCATGCACGCGTTTGCATTTTACATTTAGTTTCCTCTTGATAAGCCAGAGTTGTGATACTTATATATTCTTGCTCTCTTTGCATCTTGGAATAGCACGTGATATTATATATATATATATATATATATATATATATATATATATATATATATATATAT